GCATTCAGTCTGTCACCATTAAGTATGGTGTTCGCTAAGGTTTTTGTATATGCCTTCATCCGGTTGATGAACTGCCCTTTAATTTTTAGTTTGCTAGAGTTATCATGAATGGGTGTTGGACTTTGTTGAATGCTTTTTCTGCATCTTGAGCATTTTCATTTGTCATCTGTTGATATAGTAAATTACGTTGGTTGATTTTTGAATTTTAAAACCACCCTTGCATTGCTGAAATAAATCCTGCTCCGTCATGATGTATTATAGTTTTCCGTATCATTGGGTTCAATTTGCTAAGTTTTTATTCAGCATTTTTGCTGTCTGTGGGGGATATGAGATGGGAGACTTGGAGGGGAAACGTGGTCCATGTGCCCGATAACATCTGGGAAATTACTAAAAATAGAATCTCCTGCCCATCCAGCAATCCTCTGCACAAACGTAGAAAAGGAGTCTTGCCATCAAATGAACAGTAAGCCAGCCTGCAAGGCACAGAGTTGCCAAGACGGACAGAATCTCCCCTTTCACCAGCCAGGCAGACTAGACTTGTTATGTGTGTTACATAGGTGTTCTCGTGTTACTCAGTCCCCCATCCTTGGGTGATGGGACAGGCCTGGGCATCCTGTATTCACCTGATCATAGGGATGGGGCTTGACCCAGGTGGAGGGCAGACTCCCTGGTAACAGGGGGACAAGATAAACAATCCTGGGCTGTAAAACATCCCAAAGGGATGGAGCAAGGACTTAGCATCCCAGGTTTCCTAGGGGACACATTAAGAAAAGGGAGGAGAGGAAGGATCCTTTTCCTTTTTGGCAACAGAAAAGTCCAGTTTTCTTTTGCCCTCCCAGGGGGCCTGGGGGAAGGCGCCTATACATCACTATTGAGACCGGGGCCCTGGGGAGCCCCTGTCAGTGCTTCACCTGGAACCCGCAGCGGCCACATTCAAATTGGCCCTTTCCCTCAAATGGATACTGGAGCACAGGCAGGAGGAAGGCGGGTGGCCCTTGACCCTATGTGTGGGGGACTCCAGCCTGTCGCACCGTCCTCCCCTGCTCCCCGCAGAGATCCACAGCTTCAGCAGCTCGGAGAAGGACGGGCGCATCGTCGGGGAGATCGCCTTCCAGCTGGACAGGCGCATCCTGGCCTACGTCTTCCCCGGGGTGACCCGGCTCTATGGCTTTACCGTGTCCAACATCCCTGAGAAGATCAAGCAGGTGTGCCTCCTCGCCCCGTGGGGGTCTCCTCCCTGCCCCAGGTTCCCTCCCTGCCTGTCACCTGTGGTACCCTGTGTCCGAGGTGTGCTGAGCCCTTGCCATGAGCACCTCTGCCTTGTGGCCTGGGACAGTCTCAGGAGTGGCTCCCGTGGCCACAGAACGCATTGGCCTCGCCTGGGATGGGGCCCTGCTCTTGTCCCTGACACTGTCTGCTGGAGGGGAGAGTGGGGAGCTCACTGTGGTGGGGAGCTTGGCTCTGGGCCCGTTTGCCCGTCTGTGAAGCTTCCTTCACGGAAATCTGATCACTGTCCCCACCCTGGCCTCCTGTGGCGGGTTCTGTGGCCAAGCCCCACCTTCCCCGTGCGCTGCGTCCCCAGACGTCCATCAAGTCCCTGGACGGCTCTGTGGATGAGAAGAAGCTGCGGGAGCTGACACACCGCTACCTGACGCTGATGGCGCGCCTGGAGAAGCTGGGCTACAACCGCGAGGTGCACCCCGTGTTCAGTGAGTTCCTCATCAACACCTACGGCATCCTGAAGCAGCGGCCCGACCTGCGCGCCAACCCGCTGCACAGCAGCCCGGCCGCCCTGCGCAAGCTGGTCATCGACATCGTGCCCCCCAAGTTCCTGGGCGACTCGCTCCTGCTGCTCAACTGCCTGTGCGAGCTCTCCAAGGAGGACAGCAAGCCGCTCTTCGCCTGGTGAGCCCGGGCCCCAGCACCCGCCACGCCTTTCCTGCAATAAACGTGTTTGTTCCAAACCCTGGGGGCCAACGTGCCTCCTGTGAGTCCCCTCCAGCGGGGGAAGGGCCATGTCCGCCGAGGGAGAGCCCAAGGCCACAGGCGGGCACGCTGCGCAAGAGCAGGCACCTTCATGGACCAGCCGGGCGCACCCAGCGCCCACAGTCCCGCCAGCGCCCACACCTGCGGGGCACTTGTCACACTTTATTAAAATCATCTGTTTACTTGTTTACCTTCGGCTCTTTGAGGGCTTGAGAGCGCCTTGGTCATCGCCGGGGCTGCACACAGGAGGTGCCCCTGGTGTTTGTGGAATGACACCCGGACAGAGCCCCGAGGGGGAAGGGCTGAGGCTCGGGCAGGGCCCCCAGCCCCCAACCTCAAGGATCTTCCCCTTGAAAGGGCCAGAGGGTCCTGTCATAGTTTGGGTTTTTCCAAAAGCAGAGCCTGAGGCAAGGATTCAGGGGCTGGCAGGATGGCAGCAGGCTCTGCTGGGCCCTGTGCAAAATGAAAACGCAGGCCCCTTGTTCAAAAGTTAGGAATTTTGCCCTAGCCGGTTTGGCTCAGTGGATAGAGCATCGGCCTGCAGACTAAAGGGTCCCAGGTTCGATTCTGGTCAAGGGCACGAATCTAGGTTGCAGGCTTGATCCACTGAGCCAAACTGACTTGGGCCCTACTAGATTATTTAATGTCTCAAAACCCAGCGTCACCCCAGGTCCAGTCCCAGCATCTTGTGTTCCAGCCGTGGCCAAGCTCTGGCCCAGGACTGTCCCCACAGGAAATGTACCACTGCTCCCGCTGGAGCCCTCAGGACCGTCTCCCTGAGGTCTAGAGAGGGTAGGGGACCTCCAGGGCCTGGCGTTGCCTCCTTCCTGGGGTTTGGCTTCAAGTGTCTCCAGTCACTTCTCTGGGGTGGGGACCAGGAGGAAGGTGTTGCCTGGCCCAGGACTGTTCCCATAGGAAACGTACCACTGCTCCCGCTGGAGCCCTCAGCTCCGTCCCCCTGAGGTCTAGAGAGGGTAGGGGACCTCCAAGGCCTCCTTCCTGGGGTTTGGTTTCAAGTGTCTCCTGTCACTTCTCTGGGGTGGGGACCAGGAGGAAGGTGTTGGGATTTCTGGGCCACCCCTAGTGTGGGGCAACCTGTCCCTCAGTCCTCACAGCCTGGTGTCTCCTGGACATCCTGGACCTTAGGCCCCGGTGTTGGTCAGTTCAGGCTGCAACAAACACCACAGAACAAGTGGCTTGAACAACAGACATCACTGCTCACAGTCCACAGGTGCCACAGGGCTGGCTGCTCCCGAGCCCTCTGTCCGTGGCATGTACACACCGTTGTGTCTGGTGTCCTCACATGGCTGCCCCTCTGTGTGTCTGTGTCCTAATCTCCTCCTCTTACGGGGACACCAGTCTTGTTCAATTAGTGACCTCACTTTAACCCAGTTACCTCTGGAAAGATTCTCTCTCTCCCCAAATACAGTCACTTTAGGACTTAGGGCTTCAACGTGTGAATTTGGGGTCACAATCATTCTATCACAGACCCCCATGCTTCCCTTCCAGCCGCTGGACACAGACCTCTGGCTGAGGGACCCTTGCCTCCGGGGGGCCTCTGCCGGTGCACACATGCAGCACTGGGGCCTCTGCCACAAGAGGTGCTGGCGGGCACTTCTGGGCGCCCCTGGGCTGGAGGCTCTCCCCAGCTGAGGCCTCGCATCAGGGCGGGTTTGGAGAACAGCCCCAGCTGGGCCTGTGGCACCTGCCAGGTGCTGCCAAGGCTGCCACAGCCCCTCTGTGGGCCCTGGAGGTGGTATGGCCATCACCCATGGTCACCCACATTCGCCCAGGGGAGCCAAGGTTGGAGAGGACCCGGCTGGTCCCCAGCCTCTGAGAGTCTGCTCCAGGGTGGTGGGGTCCCTCTTCCTCCGGGTTCCTGTGAATTGAACAGCTGGGGATCTGAAGATCTGGGCACCTCCTCCCCACAGTGACTGCTGAGGGGTGAAGTAGCCTCAGACACTGACTACCCTAACAGCTGTGTGGGGTACCTGTGCCTGGGAGAATGACAAACGGGGTGCCTGTGCGGTGTCCACATGTTGTCAGAGTGGCCATGTGACTGGTGGGCCTTTGCAGAATGAAATGCCCGTCCTGATTAAAGATCATCTAGCCGGGCTGGCGTGGCTCAGTGGTTGAGCATTGACTTATGAACCAGGAGGTCATGGTTCAATTCCCGATCAAGGCACATGCCCAGGTTGTGGGCTTGAATCCCCAGTGTGGGGCATGCAGGAGGCAGCTGATCAATGCTTCCCTCTCATCATTGAAGTTTCTCTCTCTCTCTCTCCCCCTCTCCCTTCCTCTCTAAAATCAACAAAAATATATTAAACAAACAAAAAAGATCATCTAAAACGTCAAGACAGCGTTGACCTGAGCACAGCCCTCTGAGTGTAGGGTCTCATTCTGCTGCCCGGGGGCACGTTGCCCCTTTGTGGAGCCCCTGGCCTTGGGGAGCAGTGACCACGGCTGGGGAGAGCCGGGGTCTCACCCGGCCTGCCTGCCCACCGGGGCACCCACACACCGGCACACACTTACTCTCCCCCACTTTCCTGCCTGACGGGGCTGAGCTGACCTCTGCCCAGAGCTGGGCCAGTGCTGAAGCCTCACAGGGCCCTTCTTGGCCCTTGGATGCCCTGAAGCTTGGTCATTTACGTGAATGAACGGAGACCCAGAGAGTCACCTGGAGGGTCATGAAGGAGTTCACACGATGGCCACCAGATGGCCCCGGGCCACGATGGGAATGGAGTCCCAGCTGACCTGAGGGGTCTGGTGAGGACTTTTCCCCACTGAGGGTCCCGGCCACAGGAGCTTCTTTCAGGGGCGCCCACCCTGCCAGAGCGATCCCTCCTCCTCCTTCTCCTCCAACTGGGATCTCAGCCTCACTGGGATCCTGGGTCTGCCCCTCCCCGGACTGCTCGCTCGGTGTTTGTGCAGGGACCAGCCTGCCCCCTTCTCCTCGCCATAACGGATGGTTAATAAGCAGCCCGGAGGTGGGGGTGGGGGGTAGTATAAAGGCCCTGCCGGGCACTGGAGAGGCCTGTCTGTCCTTCCCTCCTTCTGTGAGAAGAGCGTCGCGATCGAGGACCAAGGCCCAGACCATGTCTCGCCTGGTGGAATGTGTCCCCAACTTCTCAGAGGGGAACAACCAGGAGGTGAGGTGCCGGGGGGCAGCGCAAGGAGCAAGGGGTCTGCTTGGTGCGGGGTTGGGAGTATCTCCTCTCAAAGGGGACACCTCCTCTCAGCCACAGCGACATGTATGCCCCGTGAGTGTGGGAAACCTAGAAGTGACCAACCTGGGGCAGGGGCGTGAGGAAGGGGGTGGTCAGGCAGGGGTCCTGACCCAGGTTTGAACAAATCCCTTGGCCTCTTGTGAAAATGGGGCCCCTAACCCCGACCCCCAGGCTGTTTGAGGGTCTCTGCCCTGGTTCCTCTGTCTCCGGTGAGGTGAGCACCGTTGTTATCCTCACATCACCTACGAGGAAACTGAGGCACAGAGAGGCGGGGCAGGCTGCCGAGGGCCTCAGAGCAGTCTGGGCCCCGAGTCCCTGCTTCTAGGCCACTGGGCATTTCTGTCACCTCAGAAGGTTCTGGGCCTTTCGTGCCCCTCTCCCGATGCAGCTACTCCCACTGGAGGCCTCGTGGAGGGGCCGGAACCCTGACCCTCTGTGACCTTGGCCTGTAGGTCACCTCCCTGGAGCCCCAGCAGCTCCTCTGCCCAGGCGCTGCTTCCTGCCTCCGTTTCTCCTGCAGGAGCAATGACTACAGCCAGGCTCCTGCTCGTGGGGATTCCCAGATGCTCAGTGCAGCCTGCTGGGTGCACCTTTGGTTGGGGGGGGGGGGCGCGGACAGGAGAGGCGCAGCCACCTCTGAAGCTCCTGTCCCTCTTCCAAGTGGGGAAACCGAGGTGTGGGCCGGGCTCTCACCCCAGGTGATCGACGCCATCTCCCAAGCTGTGGCGCAGACCCCTGGCTGCGTGCTGCTGGACGTGGACGCCGGCCCCTCCACCAACCGCACCGTCTACACCTTTGTGGGGCGGCCCGAGGATGTGGTGGAGGGGGCCCTCAACGCTGCCCGGGCTGCCTTCCGGCTCATTGACATGAGCAAGCACAAAGGTGAGGGGCTGTTCTCGCCAACAGGGCATGGAATGGGGGACCCCCGTGGCCCCCGAGGGGTCTGCCGCCCATGGGACCCGCTGTGCCAGGCAGAGGTGCGTGGCGACGCCTATCCACATTTCAGGGTGACCGGCAGTGAGGCCGGAGCACGCTGAGCAGGCCCTGGGGGTGGGGGTGGGGGGCAAGGTGAAGACAGGGCCCTGCTGGAAGCCGACCTGTCAACAGCCTACAAAGCCAAACACGTCAGGTGGCAGGCAGGGTCAAAGGTCTCTGGCCACTCACAGCAGGGAGACCAGCCAGGTCCACAGGCAGGGAATTCACAAGTGACCTCAACTGTTGAGAAATGGGGGCTCATTTCTGACTGAGGAGTTGACTGGGGAAGGGGAGAAACGCTGGGGAGGAGAGGGGGTCGCCATCTTTGGGGGGCTGCTGGCTGGCAGCAGGACACTTGGCATGGGCTCCCAGCTGCCAGGGAGGGCTGGAGGCCAGCGTGGGACCAGGAGGGCCCTCCAGCCTGGCCAGGACTCCCAGAGAGCACAGCTTCGAAGCTCTTCCGTGTTTTCTTTGTGGTTTTTAGGAGAGGGAGGGGTTGACACTGTTCACCTAAAAATAAAAGGGCAAAGTGAGAGGCAACAAGCATTTATTCGAGATCAAAGAATAGCTTTTCGGGAAACACTGATTCCGGCAGAAGCCCTGTTCGGATGAGGAGACAAAGGCAATGGGCCCTTATGAGAAGGAGGCGGGGACAGTTCCATCAATATAAGGAAGACAGTGCTGTCGTGCAGATAACGCAGCAACGCTGACTCTAAAGAATGCCTTTAATGCTCAGTCCTGTAGTCGTAATATCTGCTTTTCTGTTATCTTTGCAAATAGTTCTTTGGGACACAGTGTTGCTTTAGGCCCAGTCCAAAGTTATTCTGCCCTGTGCTAACATTCCAAAGGTTTGAGGAGTAAAGTGTGCAAGGCAGGCCCTCTGAAGTTTTTACACAACACAGATGCCCAGATACTGGGGCCTGCCTCTCCCAGGGGCCCTGTGGTTGGTGTGAATGGGTCAGTGTGTGGATGGTGGGGCAGATGGGGCCTGAGGGATAGGTTTTGGGGAACCCACCGGGCCCTTGTCCTCGCCCACAGCTGGGCCTCCTGGTCCTCGGCCCCCATCTCTCTGCAGGGGAGCACCCTCGGATGGGAGCCCTGGACGTGTGCCCCTTCATCCCGGTGAGGGGCGTTGGCATGGATGAGTGTGTGCTCTGTGCCCAGGCCTTTGGCCAGCGGCTGGCCGAGGAGCTGGGCGTGCCAGGTGAGTGCCCCCCCCCCCCGCCCCCAGGAGGGGCACCCTGATCTCAGGGGTTTCCTCAGCCAGCCCCTCCTCACTTTCAGTTCCCACCAGCACCCTTCACCAGTCTCTGCTCATGACTCCTTAAACATGCAGGTTATTAAAAAAAACAAAACCTGAAAAACTGCCACCAGCAAACTGACAGAACATTCCCATTACTTCCATAAGGAGATAAACGCCCAGTTCAAAGTTATTCTGCCCTGTGCTAACATTCCAAAGGTTTGAGGAGTAAAGTGTGCAAGGCAGGCCCTCTGAAGTTTTTACACAACACAGATGCCCAGATACTGGGGGCCTGCCTCTCCCAGGGGCCCTGTGGTTGGTGTGAATGGGTCAGTGTGTGGATGGTGGGGCAGATGGGGCCTGAGGGATAGGTTTTGGGGAACCCACCGGGCCCTTGTCCTCGCCCACAGCTGGGCCTCCTGGTCCTCGGCCCCCATCTCTCTGCAGGGGAGCACCCTCGGATGGGAGCCCTGGACGTGTGCCCCTTCATCCCGGTGAGGGGCGTTGGCATGGATGAGTGTGTGCTCTGTGCCCAGGCCTTTGGCCAGCGGCTGGCCGAGGAGCTGGGCGTGCCAGGTGAGTGCCCCCCACCCCCAGGAGGGGCGCCCTGATCTCAGGGGTTTCCTCAGCCAGCCCCTCCTCACTTTCAGTTCCCACCAGCACCCTTCACCAGTCTCTGCTCATGACTCCTTAAACATGCAGATTATTAAAAAAACCCAAAACCTGAAAAACTGCCACCAGCAAACTGACAGAACATTCCCATTACTTCCATAAGGAGATAAACGCAATGGAAGCCCCAGCCCAGGGGGGTCCTGGGCTCTCAGGCCTTGAGGCAGCGGGAACTGGGCAGCCACTTTATCATGTGATTTAGTGAGACGAGTGGACAGCCCTAAGGGAATCATTTCACTTGGGGGATTGACCACATCAAGAAAATGACCTGGTACAAATGGGGACACGTTAGAAGCAAAGTGCATGGTGGACAGGACACGTGAGCACGGGGCACGCATCCCGCCCCCTGCAGATGTGGGGAGTAGCACACACGTGTCCCTGTGCATGTGCGGGTGTTGGGAGTTTGTGGTGCGTTTCCTTAATTTGTGGTCATGTTTATTGTGCAATGAAAACACATTTTAGGAAGAAATGGGAACATCCTCCCAGTAGCGTGCCCCAGCTCTCCTGGTCGGCCGATGGCTTTTTCAGGGGCATCTGTCCAGGGGGAACAGCGAGGGTGGGGGGCTGCCCTGACCCTGGGTGGGCAGAGGAGCGGAACTGGCCCACACTGAGTGTCCATCAGTGACCACCCTGAGTGAGGCAGGAGCTGAAGGAGGCCTGTCCTCCAGGCTGAGGCTGGCAGGAGTGGCTGCCTCGGTTCTCCTCTGGGAGTGGGGGGTCTGGACTGCCCAGCTGCAGGGCCTGACCGGCCAGGCTCCCCTTGCAGTGTACCTCTACGGCGAGGCGGCGCGGGTGGCCAGTCGCCGGACCCTGCCGGCCATCCGGGCGGGGGAGTACGAGGCCCTGCCTGAGAAGGTGTCGTATTCCCTCAATGGTGGGTGGGTTTGGGGTGAACCCCAGGGGCATGTACCCTTTTCCTTTCTCCTTCCTCTTCCCCAACCCCAGCGGGGCACCCCTTCCATGGGGTACAACACCCAAGGGTGAGTCTCCCCGTATTCCCTCGATGGCGGGTGGGTTTGGGGTGAACCCCAGGGGCATGTACCCTTTTCCTTTCTCCTTCCTCTTCCCCAACCCAGCGGGGCACCCCTTCCATGGGGTACAACACCCAAGGGTGAGTCTCCCTACAGCTCAAGCAGGCAGAGTGGGCACCTGACTTTGGCCCCAGCACCTTCATCCCCAGCTGGGGGGCCACCGTCACCGGGGCACGGAAGTTCCTCATCGCGTTCAACATCAACCTGCTCAGCACCAAGGAGCAGGCACATCGCATCGCCCTCAACCTCCGGGAGCAGGGCCGTGGAAAGGACCAGGTGAGAGCAGCCAGGCCCGCCTGCCGTCCCCGTGGGCTGGGCATGTCCCATGGATCACCAGTGGCCCAGGGAGGCTGTGTGGCACTGTGGTGTGGGCCTGTACCAGCCCAGCCTCAGTGTCCATGCCATGTGGGAAGAGTTAGGGTGGGAGTCTAGTGTTTGAATTGGGGGAGCACTTGCTTTAAAGGACATTTTCCATGGAAGCAGGCAGGGTGGTACCCTTTGTTAAAATATTGCAGCAAATCTATACTGAAAGGAACACAGCTGCTTCCTGAACCCCAGTTATCTCAGGTACTCTCAGGTTCCCCCAGATATTCCCAGGTACCCCCAGGTACTCTCAGGTGCCCCGACCCACCTGGTCTGCCACAGCAGCTGTCGCCTCGATTGAGCATCACTACTGTAGAAAGTCCTAGTTGGACACAGGTAGACACAGAAACACCTGGTAAGGGAGGCGGAGGGCACTGCTCTGCCCACCTGTCAGCCCCCCATCTCCAGAGACCCCAGGTCCCCAGCCTGCAGATGCTGCCATTGTGTAAGTACAACACAAATGTAGGAGAACCCCAAATCCTTCTTTCTGCTCTGGCTGACATCAGAGGTCAGAGGTCCCTCTTCAGATGGGTTGAGTCACCCCAAGGATGAGGGGCTGACAGCCGGCCTCTGGGGTGAGGGGTGCAATGGAAGGAAGGGACCAAACACAGGAGTTTGGAGTTGGGTGGGGGTGGCCCCGGGCTGGCCCCCAGGACACAGTGTGGGTGGAGTGTTGGCTGATGGGCAGGGTCTAGTCTGAGCCTGCTGGCCGTGGGGGTGAGCATCCTGGAGACTGGCCCTCTGGGGCCTCAGTTTCCCTGTGGCAGGCAGTCCCTTCCTGCTGGCTCTGATGAGAGCGAGGGAGAGGGAGGAGGAGGGCCATGTGCACTCGACCATCTGGGAGCACCACACCTCTGCAGGCCACGGTGGCCAACGCACCTGCCAGCCTCCTCTCCTGCCTCTTCCCCGGGGATGCCGGGCAAATGGCTCTCACCAGGAACCAGGAGAGGCTGGACAAGGCCTGGGCTGGGAAAGGCTTTTCCTTTGCAGCCAGGACGTCTGAAAAAGGTTCAGGGCATTGGCTGGTACCTGGATGAAAAGAACCTGGCTCAGGTGTCCACCAACCTCCTGGACTTCGAGGTCACGGCGCTGCATACGGTCTATGAGGAGACCTGCAGAGAAGCCCAGGTGAACAGGGTGGCGTTTC